GTGATATTTTACTAGAAGTAAATGGAAACACTTAAGCAAGCAGGCTGATAAACAGTATTGAGTTTGGGTAGATTTGTAGCAATTGATGTTTTGACAAAATTGGAGCTGCTGAAGCAGGCATTTTAGCTCAACTTAGCTAAAATAATAAATTGCAGTAGCCCAAGCTAGACATGACAAAGGCATGAATCAACTTCTCCATCTTCTTCAAGAAAAGATCTCAGGCTTGTCCTGTACCTGTGATGGTGAAAAAGGTGTTTGAATATTACATGAAGATTGCTGTCAAAGGCAGCTCTTAATTCAATATTACATGAAGGGTTTTCATGCTGACAAGGAGAATAAGAGGCTACTGGTCCCAGAAAAGTATTACAGAGAGGTAACGGCTCTTTGTGTTCTTTGCAGCAATGAACAAAATGTCCACTTCGCTTACATTGAAAATATACTGAAAAAATTTGATTTTTTTAGAAACAGAATATTCAGAGGTGTGCTAATTTCAGTGCAAAAGTAGAAGTCGTGCCTATATCCTACTTTCTTATATAAACATTCAGTATATAAAAGACTGAAGGATCTAACCATGAAGAACTTTGCTGCGAACTTCGGATTCCAAATGCTGAAGTCTGCTGTTGCTTCTAAGGCTACGCAGTATTCCTTAAATAGAAACATTTTATTTTCGAAGGGTGGTATTTGGATCATGGGATTCATGTCTCATGGGATTCATGACTTCTGCTAAATAAATTGAAAATGAACAGATATAGAAGGGCTGCCTATGTAACTGTTGTTAGTTTTGATAGCTCAAGATAAGAAAACTTCAGATCTGGGCAGGCCTTGGATGGCCTCTAGCTATGGAAAAAAAAAAAAAGAATATTTTATAGTATAGACCTTAATTCACCACAGCTAGGAAAGGCTCAGCACTGTGAGAGTTTTCAGAAGATCTCGTGTTCAGTTTTATCAAGTCATTATGCACATTGAAACCTAAGCTGAAATTGCTACTACTTTCAGCAAAAATCTGTTCTTGCTCTTGTTCTTCAATTGCCCTGTGATGTTTCTGCTCTTAAGATTGCAGCACAATGAATATACAATCCTCAGCCATAGTAGTCATTCCTCTTTGTCTCCCATTCTTGTTAATATATGTAAGACACAGATGTATGAAGTCTGGGATACTGTAGACTATCACAAGACTCCTCGACCTGCCAGCGTTGCTCTTTCTAATGCAGATCAGGATGCCTTTGGCCTTCTTTGCCGTGAAGGCACGTTGATGACTTATGTTCCACCTTGTGTCCGCCAGGACCTCCAGGCTCTTTTCTGCCAGGCTGATTTCCAGCCTGTCGGCCCCCAGTTGATACTGGCCCATAGGGTTATTCCTCCCCAGCTGTAGGACATTGCATTTCCCTTTGTTGAACTTTATGAGATTCCTGTTAGCAAAGTTTATTATGTTTTGAAAATAATTAAGCTTGTATCCCTAATCTACTTGTTAATATATCATTTTACTTTAATACTGCTCCGTGTGGTATCAGTCAGTGCATAGTAAATATCACTTTATTATTTACACTATGTGCTTTCTTGATATAGATTGGAAATTAAAAATAAATCAGTAGAACTAGGATACTTCTCACCTAATTTAAATATTTCTAGTTAGCTATCAAGTCCAAGTTAAAACCTTAGTTATAGACTCAAGGAAGTTTAACTTAGGTAAGCAAGGAAGAGTTAAGGGAAAGGAAGACCTGTAACGCATGATTCATTCCATCCTTAGACATATATCTTAAACTCATAGGCTGAATCATCCTCTGGAGATCCTGTTGCTCTTGACAGACTGCAGATGGAACCTGCATGAGCAGTTCAGATTTAACAGCCAGAGATACAGAAGCAGTCACCCCAAATAAGGAGAAGTGGGGATGTGTTGTGATAGTGACCTAACACGTATACTAGCCACACAAATTTACTCATCCGATAACATCCCTGTATACTTCACTAAATATTTTCCAGCTCTCACCTCATAAAATGCTATGAAAGCAACAATGAAACAAAATGCTGTAGAAGTTTACTTTAAAATATTGAGGGGGCCCTTAAATTTTAAATGCTTGAAAATGTGCAGCAGTGCCCTTCACTAAGTTTTAAATGTTCTAAAATAAATTTCATGATCTGGACTTACACGCTAAAATATATTCACTTCAAGTTATCTAAATTATCATCCATACTGGCCTCCAAAGATTGATCCATTTCTGCTCTACAAGAAGGTAATAAAAAATCAGGTTACATCTGGTTTGATTTTCCTGTAATGAAACACCGATTGCCCCATGTCAGAAAAGATGTACTGTAGGTATTCTTCTGGGGTTCTACCTGGCATTTGCAGAGAGTCAATAAAGAAATAAGATCTAACATTTCATTTATAAAACATGAATTCCACTGGGTTAGGCATCAGGAACGATGATAGGTTTTTAGTCTTATAAACTGAATATTCTAGTAAAATATTTTGCTATCTATCATTAAGAAAACAAAAACATAATGTCTCTTGTGATTTGGGGACGGGTACTCAGAATGCAACAAGATAGATTTCTGCGGTATATTGCTTGCAAATGCTGAACTGAATTTATCAGGGACCAGTTACATACAAAAGTTACAGTAAGAAGAAGCCTTGTAGGTGGGATGAAGGATGCTCTATTTTGCAACTGGGGAATTTTGTATGTCTAAATTACTACATTTTAAGAAATTCACCAAGTTCATAGCTTTTATTCTTCAATTATTTCTCTCTTGTGAATACTTCGACATTTGAGTTGACTCAGTTTTCCCCTCAGATTTATTTGTTGCCTTAGTTGTCTCAATTTGTTTAATTTGACTGTTCCATTCTTCATTCAAATCATGCCTTTGATCAGAGATAGTTCCATTCAGCATTTGGTTGGAAAAGATAAGAAGAAATGACTTCCTCTGCTTGGGAGTATAGTATAGCAACTTTTCTGGAAAGATTTCTTTTGTCTATAGACAATCTTCATTATTTGTTCCAAAATGCACAACAGATGTATTAAAATGATATTAATTCTAGTAGCTGTACATGCTTTACCTGAGCCATTAAAGGGCTCAGTTTATCCTCTCCTTCTTTACCTCCTGCTCAGTGCAGGAGGCCCTTACTTTCCCTGATTCCCACTGTATTTATAACTCTTATCTTAGTAACCCAAGTTTCCCTGTGCTAACCTGCTGATCTCCCAGAGATCCCTGCCTTCTTCCATTTCAACAGTTTGCCTTGTTCTCTCTTGCAATATTTCAGAGATATTGTTTTACTACTTTCTCCAGGTCTCTTTGGTCTGCAAGTTGGGCATGCGGGAGCATGTGCTCTTTAGCCAGCTGACCCTGAGGTAGGTAAATGCTGATTGATAGTGAGGCCCATTCTGTCTGTTCCTCTGGCTGCTGGGTGCCTGTTCTGCCTCTTGACTACTGACAGGCCAGAAAAGAGGTTAATGCTATATTGCCAAGTCTAGATTTGTTTGCAGAAATGTGCCGCTGTGCATGCCAGAGTCAATCATCTCCCATTAAACCCATTAATTTTCTCTGAGAAAGCGGCGAGTCCCCTCTTCTTGTGCTCCCGGAGACCAAGGAGAAGACAGAGACTGGCACGTTTTGGTCAGGATGCAGCTAAGGTGTTTGCTTAGGGGAGGAACTCAGACTCAGTGTAGTCTGTCTGTATATTAAAGTTTCAGCTACAGCTGAGGAGAGAAAGGGGACCCAGGTAGGTTGATTAATTAAACATTTTCATACTGGGAGTTACAAGGTCTTTCAGGTCCACGGAGAACACACAAATGATACCATCCTCTGGGATAATGTATCATGCTTCTTTAGCTTTGTGACTACCTTTCTGCATGGTCCCAGTCTGGATTTTCAGTATTTCTGATGATTAGTACTAATCAGGAAGTACTTTGACAATTTTTTTCTCAGCCTTTGAAAAAAAGCAATTTGCAATTTTTACATAACTTCAGCTCTGACCCACCCTCCTTATCTTTACCTGAAGAATGAAAGGTAAAGCACCCAGGTAAGATCAATTCCGAATAAATCCACTAACAGTTAAGGAAAAAAACCCTTCTCAATGCTGTTCTGCTTCAACCCGGTATTTTCTCTTTGCAGCCTCTCTTTGGAATAAAAATAGTTGATTTCTAAACAGATAAAGCAAATGCAATCTAGGCCTAAATGGCGTCATTGTTATGCCAGCTCAGTGTACCATTTCTAACAGCTGTTTTCAGGAAGGTTTGAAGTGATAAGTTTAAAAAATTGCCAAGAATTGTACTGCTGATATTCAAATGCGAGTGATGAGCTCTGAACTAACACACTGGCATTGTAAATCTTTTCACTTCATGTGTTCTTTCTTGCTCAACATGACATCACACTCACTGAGAAACAATCTCCTCTTCGTCTCTCAAATTCTGACATGCTCACTGTGCAAGGGTTGGAAGGTGAAGCTTTTGAAGAGCACTATGATTTACCATTGTGCCAATTCTCTGCTCTAAATTAATGGTTACAGTGACTGTAAGCATCGAGAAAATTAGGATGCTGGCCTGGGAAGCCTTTTTTTTAGCATGGTGGAGTATCCAAATTTCTCTCCACAAGTATTCACCATTAGTAGATGAGTTGCTAGCATTAAAGTGGATACAGAAACTGAAGGAGCTGGTTAGAACCTGATCATTGTGCTGCAATGGACTGAGATAGTGCTATATTATGAATTTGAGTGGAAATTTTTGAGTTAATTTTCTTTCAGGGAATGTATATCAGTCCATAGTTACATCCTACAGATTCATAGATGATGTATGTTGTACTTCCTTGAATCACATATTATCATGGTAATGAAGGAGCTTTGAATTTAGCCTAGTTTCAGCAAAAGGAATTTGCTTCAGTACGTATTGCATCAGTGTCGAATTCCTCTGAAACTCTGGGATGATAAACATATGTTACAGCCTGTCAAGTCAGTTGCTTTCACAATACTGTCTTGGGTGGGACTCCTTCTTTGAAGGGGAAGGACTTTTCTCAGAGCAAGCCCAGGCACTAATTTTCGCCGGCAAACCAAAATGAGGCAATGTAAGACAGATATTTGGTAAGTGCAAAGTAAAATTTAATTTCAGACATTTTTCCCTTTAATGAAGCCTTATAATTCTGCTTTTATAATATTACATTAGCATAAAGAAGCACTTATGAATGAGACGATCAGTATTAGCAATCATATCTATTCTCCGTAATAGTTTATTTACACGTTGTAGACAGCACAGACAAAAATAGTTGTGAATAAATACTATTTTGTTTATTACATGGCTATATCTCTGTTTTTTCGTAATTCCAGACCATTAAGACTGTCTTCAGGCTTAGTATCCTTGCATGAAGTTTTTGAAAGTTGCTTCAGCCAAGAGTGAAGTGATGTCTTTGTTTTTGTATTAATGTACTGTTATCGTGTAACAGAATTTCTGTGCAGGCTGAATCTTTGTGTGATTTCTCCTAACAGGTAGGACTCTACACTGAGTAGATAAACCTGTGAAGATTTTGTTATGAGGGTTTATGCCTCCTGCTTTAAGAAAAGGGTATTATTTTTAACAGCACCAGGAAGGGGAGGTGCTTTTTGACGTAACAAATGACATAAACTGCATCTATAATAACTCTATCTTCACTCTTTAAGATTTTTTGGTTTGTTTGCATTTACTCAGAACTAGACTGTGAATTTATATAGATGTTCACGCATGTAAAAGCTCACTCTTGGCTTCTTTGGTTACCAGTTAAGATAAAGAGTTACTCCTAGAGGACTCTATTTTAAATAAACCGTAGGAAGGGAAGGATGGAAACTGATTCAGTGAGAAATAGAAGTGAGAGCTTACAGTGACTAGCCATGACACTTTCAAGAATAGTTCTCCTAAGAATTGTACAAGTGGAGTTTAATTTTGAAATACTTTTGGACAGTATAGTATTCTTTCCTTCTAAAATTTGTACTGATTCTACTGTCTACTTGTTTTACTGGCTAGATACACTTAATTTTCATTTTTTGCCATATTGTAAAGATGCAAAGGATCTTTTCTGAAGAGGATGTTTCTTCAATAGCTGAATGGAGGCAGTTCTTCTACAGGGTGTTATTTAATTGGCATAACATGTATTGCAGTGCACATCTACCATCATTTGGTATAGCAGACCACTCAAACTTTCTGTTAGATATTATTTGTGGCACATTTAGAAAGATGGTGTATGGGTAGATAGCCACAAATGGGACAAAAATATTATCTATATAGGAAAATTAACGATACTCATAATTTCAATTCCACATGTTTTCATGTTGTTCACACTGTGTTACTTTTAAGTATTTTATCGAAAATCAAAGATGATATTCTTTTATTGCAAGCAAAATCAGCTCTTTTTCCTCTCTACTCCACTTTTGGGGCATTTTCTTTTCTGGAATAATAGCAATGTGTGGTTTCTCTCCTTCCTTTGTGATACACCTCGCCAATTGACTTATTTTTCATTACCGGAGTCACTTGTAGGTTTCAGAAATGTTAAAATATTTCCAAAGCTGTCAATAGCAAGAGAAATAAAACCTCACTGTACCTAGTGTTTGGTTTTGCGTGATCTGTTTTTCTCTTTTCCTTCTGGTGCTTGTTTTGCATCCTTACTAAAGCTGAATGTGTCGCAATTACTTAACCATATACAAGGTACTTATCAGAATAATAAAGTGTTCTACAACTTACATAGTTTGCACTGTAGTTTGTACTGTGGCTTTGGTTTGTACTTATGCTGTAACAATTACTTATTTTATGTTTTGCAATAAGAGTGTTATACTGCTCCTATACACGCCATAACTGTAAAACATACTGTGCTTTTGCATTCATTTAAAGAGCAACTACTTGATAAGTACAAAGTAATTAAGCAATAAGACATGACAGGCAGTGCATTTCCAGGGAATTATTGCACATCTCAGATGCCCTAAAAGATACAAGGCTAAAGGTTGAGTGACTTCAGCCACCTGAGAAGTGGAATAATTCCCCAGAAATGCATTGCTTACCATGTTTTATTGCTATTATGAAATGGAAATTATGAAACTAAAAGGAGGAAAAGATTAGATCTGTGAATTTACAGAGGATTACTTATACAGGTATGACATCACTGTCAGCTCTATATGTGTCTAGAGAGTTCTCAAGCCGTTTCGGAATTAGCGCGTGAGCAACGCAACTCATCTGAAACTGCTGTTTCAGCACTCCTCATTACCAGCTTCATCGAGACCAGCCCCCAACACTCCCCTACAAAATCATATCCGTATTCTCGGTACAGGCTTTGTCTCTTATACTACTCGCACAACCTCGGGAGGTGTGGTTATTCCAAAATAATCGTACGCCCTGGAGCATTAGAGGCATTTGGTTGCTTCCTTGCCTTGCAACACCCCAAGGTCATTATCTCGTGATAATCACATCTCCTGGAGTTGTCTTATTGCTTAAGTGTAACACTAAATTTTAATTACAATGAAATAGAGCTCTTCTGGTAGTTTATACAACATCCTGTGTGCGCAAAGCCAGATGGAAATAATGCCTAGCTTTTACTGTAATAGCATTTGGTGGGCTTGTGCTCCAGTGCAATAAATGATTATGTTTTTGTTGGGTTTTGATGAGAAAATCATTTTGAACTAAATTTGGAGTACACTACTATCAAATTTAATTTGAACTCTTATTATTGTTCTGATTTGTTGTAAATTTAATTTAATTTTAAAAATACAGTGGAGTATCAGTCCACTGATAACATTCTAAGTCTTTGATACTACTAACACACATTACTGACTTCTGTTGGAGTTTGCTGAAGGTAGGGAGTATAATGTTTGGCTCTTTAAATATTATTTTCAAATAACCATCAGTAAAAAATGTCCTTTGCACTGAAGACTGAGATCATGAATTTCAAATATGATTGAATGTTTCTGCTCCTTTTAAAAAACTCGCATAAAAGAATGGCATTCACACAGTATTCATGTGATGATCTCATGTCTCATGTGATTTCTCATATTCCAGCTCTGAGGTTGGAAATGGCATCACACAGACCCAGCTTTACCTCGTAAAGTGTTTCCTGAGAAAAGTTTAATTTTGTAAAGGGATTTAAATTTTTAAGTCCATGAGGTCCATCTCTTGTCAAGCTTAAGCACTTACACATACACTTACTTATTAAATAGCTTCAATTGTTTCCACAGCAAGAACTTAAAAAATTGTTAAAGAAATTTTTACATTGGATAAGCTATAATAGTCTATATTAACCAGTCCGCCTACAGGTTCTTAAACTTGGAGGTATGGAAAACGCAATTCTTCAAATCAAATAGCTGAAAACATATAACAGCCTATTCTTTTCTAATGGAAAAAAAGTCCAATAATTAAAAAAAAAACAGGCAAAATCAAAAGCATCAGCTCTGTTGACCTACATCATACTGTCTGAATGTGTTCATATCTCTGTTTAACTGCTTCTGCAGTGTTTTGATCCCAATTGGAACTGCAGTTATATCTTGAGGCATTGAACAAAGATGGTTGCTGTTTATTCTTAGTAAATATCTTGCTATAACAGATTTTTTTCAGAGAGTTTTTAGTGCTTTGAGTTGTTTTCCTTCCATTACTCTTTTTCAGATATTTACAATAAAGATAATGATATGAAATTACTTGTGAGAATGTTCAAACTATTATGATCTTAAATTTGTCATGTTTTATTTTGTTGTGTTTTACCTTTCCGCTTTGCAACTTTGTCAATTAAATGTTCACATTGCGTTTACCTTGTGAAAGTGCATGTTCTGATGTTTTTATCTCTATTAACATAATTTTTATTTCATGACAATATTAAATTAGCCTGAAAATGAAAATATTATGCTCTGGTGTGGATCACAGCTTAGATCACACCTGCTTGAGTTGTTCTTCCTAGTTATTTGTTTTTAGTTCAAAGCTTCAGACAAATAACTGCCATTACAAGTCTCCCTATTGACCAGCATTTTCTCCCACCCAGTGACACCTTCTCGGAAACGAGTGACCAGTTTATAGCTGACTTGTTGGAAATGCATGTTTCGAAGACACTAAACTTCTACATGTTTTATGAAATACGTGGCTGGCAAAGAAGGGAGACCTTATTAGCATTTCTAATGAGGAAAATGTAGCAAAACTCCCTGTAGTAGACTTCACAGAATTGATACATGAAAGACGCTAGAAATTAAATTTCCTTATTTCTTCTTCTGGTGGACCTATTTGTTTAACATTTCTGAATGTTCCCTTTGAAGAGAGCCAAAATCTTCCCTCGTTGGCACTATTATAAACCCAGTGAAATCAGTAAATCACTTCAGGAAGAGTCGGTTCTAGTCTGTGGTGAGAGAGATCTGTTTATTTCACTAGGGTTATGCAGGGGTGGCAAGTAGGAAAATTTTATCAATACTTCTGATACAAACCCAAACTGACTCTATACTATCAGACAATAAAATTTAATCAGCTTTCTACTGTGCTATAGTTCTGTTGTCATTGATAAGGGGTTAATATATTGTAGTAGTATTGATGTGGAACTCTATAGTAAAGACTGGGAGGAGAAATTTGGTATTTTGGCATCTTATTCAGGATTTTTTAAAAAAAGTAATTGTACAGTGTTAGGAAACAAAATTTTTAACTGTTGCACATAGTAGCCACATTGTGAATATTTCACCCTCACCATAGCCTCTTATCTTGTTCTGCTCTTACACATAGGTCATATTATGCACTGCTTTGTGCTAGTTTGACAAGAACTAATGTGGATGCTTAAATATTTTAAAGGCTGCACATTTCAGAATGATAAAATACTCAACTGATCTTCCTTTCCTGTTGAATTTGTGGTTAATGATAAAAAAATTTAAGCCTTTTTTTTTTGTCTATTAGTGTTTTTAACAACAAACACTAGAAGTTCTTTTGAGGAAAATCTTCAAATAAGGCCGTGCAACGACACTTTTTAACTACAGTTGTTTTTTATTCAGCCATAAAATCTATCTTTCATATAGAAACCCACTTACATGTCTTACTTCAGTGAAGGTTATTTGTAGACTGAAGGTCTTTTCTTGTCAAGATATGATGAATACCATGTGTGAAG